TAAAAATACATTGAAAAGTGTAGTACTCTACATACGCTGAAAGTGTAGTACACGTCTCACCACGAAAAATGGGGGGACTGTCGCCATAATAAATAGGACGAAAACACACACACACACAATAGCAGTGGCGTCCTATGAACTTGGGCCCTACATATGACGTGCGAAAACATCCACCAAAAATCGATGAGTGGGGCGGCAGCGGGTTGATACAAGTAGAACACGTTCGACGACATTTCGAGAAATCGTCCTTTGCCATTCCGCGAAACTTAGAAGAGGCTAGATACCCCGCAACCCTGTGCCTGGGTGTGCGTGGGCGAGGACTCCGAAAAATAAACGCGTATAGTTCACGACCGACGCTGCTAACATGACACCACTCGTAGTTGTGCGACTGCAAGTCGAAACTGGCAAACCAAGCAAAAATTTAGGCATGCGCGGCAGAGGAAGCGGAAGTGCGTTGAGCGGGCCTGCTTCTGGGCACCCCCTCGCACAAGGCTACGCAACACTCCTGATTTACGGACATGATGTGCTCGTCAAGTCGTTTCATTTAATGGAGACCCTCGCTCCAAACGTATGCATCAGCTGGTATGCACCCATCGTCACCAGCGACAAGGTCCACACCTGTCCAGCCGTTTGCGTTTTTCACGTAAAATTGGAATGCGGGCACAAAACGTTCCGACCTCTTAACAAGAAACGCCACCGGTAGCACACCACTACGAAACTATGTAGAACCCCACGCCCCTCGGTTTCGGTTTTGTGGTAACGTAGGTACTTGTCCAGAACGTCGTGAACAGGAGGTAAATAACTTGGCTCTGTTACCCTTGAGCATGAGGAAAGAGCCGCTCATTTTCTTGGTCTTTGTCAGGTTGTGACTACGACCGCGCTTGTTGCATGCACGTGGTATCTCACGACGCGTCGATGCCATCAGTATCAGCTGACATCGTACATGGTGCGACCGAGAGCTGTTCCTCCTTGGTACAACACATGCGTAGTAAAACGTGCGAAGATTCTGAGCCCCGTCGTTTGCCGCCCTCCCTTTCTCTCTCTCTTGCTCTCAGAACAGTTCCTATAATCCGCGTTTTCCGAAAGTAATTTATTTGGCGCCACCAGATCCACGAAACTTTGAATTCACCCACGTGTAAGGGAGCTGATGACTCCGCTTGAGCACGCCCAGCTCTTGCTACCGGACCCCTCCGAGGGCTGGACAACCCTAGGCGATATGGCTTCTTCGACCTTGACCATAACCCTCCCGAAGATGTTGGACATCCAACCTCCTCCCCCCCCGCCCTGGTTTGAAGATGTGCTTCCGCCATCTTGGTCCCCCTCCCCTGGTGGCGGCGCTGCTGGTGTCCTCACCCTAGAAAACATGCCGCCGCAGTCGCAATGCAGTGAGCGGGGGAGTAAAAGGCATGCAACCTTTCCTCCCCCAATGTAAAAGTCTTGCTCGCTTAGGTGCGGAGAAGGGGTGTCGCACACCTCGAGTTGAGATGCCTTTGATCGCAAGTAGTTCTACCCTCTTGGCGCCCCACTCCTCACAGGAAATAAATAAGCGTGCAGAGTTCCTCTGGCACCCTCCACCCCTCATTTCATCATATTGCGGCATCCCCCGTTGCGGGGATTGGGGAGCAGAGCGGAGCGGACATCTAGCAGCAGAGAGACACACACACCAAATAGCGAGCTAGACGACGACGAACGAAGAGGAGCGCCGCTTTTTCTTCAATCGGTTCCGTAACCACAGCGCCACGGTCGTTTTGCACCGCTCTCGACATGGCTGCCGCGTGGCGTGGGACGGTCTTTACCCTCCTCACCGCGGCTTGCGCATCAGGCTTTGTTCAGCCAGGATGCCCAGGAGCGCTCACAGGTAGAGAGTGGGCCAGGAGCGGGGCGACGAGCTGCGCAAGACCAGTGTGCTCGAGCGTGCTCCGCATGTCGGATCACACGGAGGACAGGTGCGTTGCGCGCGCCGGCCGCTGGTGTGCACGAAAAATATGAAAACTGCTGCTGCGCTGTCGAAGCGAGGAAAGTTGAACAAACGTATGCCAAGCCCGTTTGGGGCGTGAGCGGTTGTCCAGCGACTTCCCAACACATGCCTGAGTAGCTGCTGCAGCTCGAGTGCGCTGACTGCTGTCGGGTATGTATGTAATCGATCACTGCTGCAATGGCGGAGCAAAGGGCCCTGACTAGAGGAACGTTCAGTGGACTCTTTTCAGGGTTGATGGCTGATGGTCAAGGAGCGATGCGTTCATGTGCACCAAGCTTGTCGCGGTTCTTCTCATGTTGCACATTCTCAGCACCAAACAGCATTGAGTCAGTCAGGCGACCTGATCTCAATAGGCAGCCACAGTAGCCCTCCCTGCACCCCTGACCACTCCGCTCTTCTATTGTGTGCAGGCATGTGGCGTGTCTTGAGGATTATCACACACCCGTATGCAGCGTCTAGACTATGCACACAACAAAGTATCACTTAAACTCCTATGTTTTTGCCCCCCGTTGAACCTCCTCGTGCACAACAGGCCAAGAACGCAGGTGTTTGAGAGCAGCGGCGGCGGGGATGGCGAAGAGGGTTCCGCAGCATCGAAGTGAGCAGTAGCAGCAGCAGCAACAGCAGCAGCAGCAGCAGCAGGCGTTTGGAAAAAGAGGAGCTCTTGGTGTTTGACGTTGTGATGAGTGCACTTATTGCTTATCGCCAGCGCGCGGTGTTGGGCAACCTCTGCCCGATGAAAATCCCTTGCTCCGCCGGCGTCCCCCCGGTAGCCGGTACACCTGATTTCGCTGTCGCTGTCGGTGTGGTGCGCTTGGGCTCGCGCGCTCGCGTTCGATCGAGACCGCGTGTACAAGGCTGCCGTGTGTAGCACAAAAAAACACCAGCGCACGTGCTATTTTATTGAACACGCACGGATGTCGAGCCAACATCAGCAGTACATCCGAGGTGTACAGATTTATCGCGTGCAGTGGTTGCCCCATGTCGCTCGAGTGCCTCAGCACGAGAGCCCATGTAGGTATGACGATGAAGGCGGGCAATGAAGTGACGCAATAAAACCCTTGAACCCCCCCATGCTCAGGTCGGCTGACGCCCCATATGTACTGACGAAACCGATGGACCTGGTACGAGTCCGGGGTTTCGGCAGCGGTTCGTCGGCGGGTTACTTCCCCGGGAGGGATGGCGGCGGGAGGGGGCGGGGGGGGAGGGGGGCGTATAACGACGGTTACGGCGGAGGCGGAGGCGGTGGTCGCGGCGGTTACGACAACTTCCAGGGGAGGGGTAGGGGCAGGGGAGGGAGGTTTGACTCGGGCGGCGACGCGTTCGGCAGGTAACAGCAGCAGTGGCAGAGGGGGGGGTAGAGGGAACACTACGGTTGGTGCGTAGGTGTACGAACACTTTCACAACATGCCGATGGTGGAAGATATGCAGATGCGAGACTTGCTTTTGCCTGTTCGAATGGCTGGTGTGCGAAACAAGCGTCAGGCCTTTCTCTCTCTCGGACAGAAAAAAAAGCTCACGCCTCACCACTTACAATCAAAACAAAACCATTCCCACCACTTTTTGTGTTTTGCCCAACGCTCCAGGGGAAGAGGTCCCGGCGGCGGTAGGTTTGGCATGGACGGTCGCGGCCGCGGGGGGCGTTTTGACGGCGGCGGCGGCGGCGGCGGCGGCGGCGGCGGCGGCCGCTTTGACGGCGGGGGGCGCGGCGGGGGGCGTTTTGACACTGGAGGTCGTTTCGATGGCGGGGGACGGAGCGGGCGCTTCGATGGGGGNTATGGCAGTGGGCGGGGGCGTGGCGGAGGGCTTGACGATGTTGGCGGCGGGGGGAACGGGGGCGGCCTCGACTATGCTGCTCCTCCCACGGAGAAACGGTGAGGATCAGAGGACAGGGTCGATTTAGGCGGGTAGGCAGACCTTTCGTGAAATACTGCATGAAGGGATGAAGGGATGAAGGGATGAAGGGATACAGGCGCAAGGAGAAGGGAGGGAGAGATAACCGTGATCGGGAGGCGAAGATGTGGAACTTTCACGGGGGTTGCACGGGGGTTGCACTAGGGGGGGGGGGGGCTTCACACTCTTGTTGGCGCTAGCGTGTGTTTGAGCTTGACCGCTGCTGTTTGCCAATCGCCTCGTTGTGATGGAGTAGTTATTGTGATTGGCACTCCCACTCTAGACGTACACCTGTGGTATTTCCGTCTTGTTTGGTAACCGTCCTGTTTCGCCCGGAAACGAGAGAGAGGGAAAGGGGGCAGACTTGTCGGTATGTACTAGCTGGTGTGTCTAGAAATTGGTGGAACTCGCGCTAGTGCTGGAGCAGACGGGGTATGCCTCGCACGAAGTAGGACATATCGTCTCTATGGAAGTGATAGGTACTACGGCCGGGTCGTGTACGATTTGATGGCCTTGCCCCGAATGGTATCGAGCAGGCTGCTGAAAGGGTACCTATCTGAAGTAATGCGCCCGTGCACCGTGCGCAATAGTTTTTCCATGCAAACAAGTGTGCATTTGGTGTTAGTACGCGTTCGTGTCGTGCGCTTCGGCTCGGGTCGTTTTTTGTGAGTATTGGGGTGTCGTTGTGGTCGTTGTGTTGTTAGGTAGCCTTTGTCTTCAATATCGTTGTATCTTTGTCATTTCTGGGTGTAGCTTCCGGGTGCCGAAAGCTCATCATCGCGCTCTTCATTTTGTCCCTCCAGCGCGCATATCGACCACGTGTTTATGTGCAAGTCATGTTTTCCTCCTTGCTTTGCACCCGTCGACCTGTTGTTTGTGGGGTGAATGTGCCATGTTGAATGGCGGCGACGTTGTGCTTCCATGCATACTCGTTATCGCGTCGAAGTCCTTCGTGTGTGTGTTGCTCCAAGCTTGTTTGGTTTGATCTTAAAACAGCCAAACATGCTACTGCTACTATTCGTCCTCGTGGTCATGTTGGCGTAGCGTCTCACCCAGTCGCTGCCTGTGCCCTGTGATCATAACTCCCTTTCTGGAGGGCTTCGATAAGAGGGCACGCATATGGAATGCTTCCGCGATTCATGCTTGCCTTTCACTTTCGCATTTTGTCTTGTGTAACGTAGGCAGCACACCGGGTATACATGCATGGACGTCTCTCGTTTTTCTTGCGCTCGAAAAAAGGCCTGTGAGATGAGAGCAGGGCGCACTTTGAAGACGCCGTGTTCGATTCGTGTGTCATTTCTTTGTAGCCCTGAGTTGTTTGGATAGTTGTGGTTGACCATTTGGTACTTTCGAAGTCGATCTCTGCCTGGGAAAAGGGCAGCTCTTCGGCCGTCTAACAAGAGAGTTGAGCATCGTGGGCCTCCGATGCTTCATGGGTTGCTTGTTGATGTGTTGTTGCCGCTACCAACCACGTGTATCTGTTGTCTATTTGGTTCGCAAAGTACGGCTTTCAAGGAGGACAAGAAGAAGGCCAAGGGCTACGAGAGCAAGAACGTGCCGGACAAGGCGTCTCAGGTCAGAGAGTGCCGCCTATCACCAAGTTGTTTATTCAAAAACTTCGTTTACGGTCGCGCTTTTTCTCGTGGAACCGCCTTGATGATTGGGCTGTTCGGGGTGATGATGGTTGTGGGCATCATTTTCGCATACTCCGCACGTTGGTCCACTCAGGGTCATGTTCTTTGCATGCTCCATCCCCCACCCACCCCTTCTTTTGCGCTCTGGACTGGCATGTCCTGGTTTCACCGCTCCGTTTCATCTTCTGGTGCGTTTTCAGTCGGTTCTGAGGGGGCGAAAGGATAGGCTACAGGCGGAGGCCTTGGACGAAGAGCTGTACGATGATGACGGTGCAGATCTCAGCACTGACGATGATCTGTTCGGGTAAGCTTTCCCGCTATCAGTACTTTTGCGTACTTTGTGTGCTGCCGTCAGTTGTGGTTGTTAAGTTTCTAGTCTCGTGTTCCTACGGAAGTGTTGTTGCTGAAGTCATGGAAGCGAAAGTGAATTGGATGATGGAGAAAGAGCTTCTTGTTGTCGTGCCGGTGGCTGCGATCGCTCTTTCTTGATACGGCGTTTGAGACTCCCGTTCGTTGTTCTCGTCCCCCCCGTCCCCAACCTCCCGCATTTGTTGTTGTTGCTGCCTGCTCTGTACCCGCCACCTTCATCACAACACCGGCACCGCCGCCACCAGTGCGGCCACCGCTGCCGCCACGGCGATGCTGGGCGAGGCCGCCGAGAAGGTAGCAGAGCCTAGCACCAAGCCCAAGGCAGTCCCCTCGACCCCGGTGGAGCGGATCCAGCCCACGGGGGGCCGCCAGGCGCAAGCGCAGGCGCTCAAGGCTGCCGGGAGGCCGATCCCCGGGCGGGGTCGCGGGCGAGGGCGTGGGCGGCCTAGGAGGCGGCGAACAAAATCCAATCAGATTTACGTGAGTGCCGTTCTGTCGTTGTCGTCTTTGATCCGTCTGCGTTCTCTGTGGCATTCAGTCCCTTGCCAAGCTTGGTTGTGCACATTTTGGCATGGATGCTTAGTCCGGCTCAAGCATCTCCCAGGTGCCCGGTGAAAACAACATGCCCTGACGTCTGTCGACCAAACCCGACCCATCATACCCAAACGACACAGACATCTGCCCACCCAACAATTGGTGCTGTGCTGTTGGCGGCAGTGGTGGTTGTTTTGCCGGGTGTGGGTCTGCTGCTGTTGTTTTTTAGAGATTGCGTGCATGTGCGTCTGGTGTCGGAAACGCGAGGAGTTGGGGAAAGTATACTAAGCCTGCCTTAAAAGGTTGTCACGACTTCGGAGCCGTCCTTTCGGGCGACGCTGCGCTGCTTATGCTACAGCTGTTGCATTGTACGTAATGAGTGCCCTTTTGTCGTCCGAGTGAAGCGATGTATCCCTGCGTTGCAGATCGTAATGAGCTCATGTTCGGATGATGAGGGAATGTAACAACTGAAGTATAGTACAATCCATGTCCAGTTTTGTACTATAATAGAGACCGGATAGACTTTCGACCGAGTCCTTCCCATCTACCAATAGGCAGTCGGTTGAACGGCCGCCCTACAAAGTACCGGTCGCCCCGGTGGTCTAGTGGATACCCTCGCAGCCTGTTAAGGGCCAGGTCATGGGTTCGAGTCCCGGCAGAGTGAGTTTTTTTCTCACTAAATAAATCCTGGTCTAGGATGAAAGCGACGCGTTGCAAAGCTCGTTGTTATTAAACCTTAATCGACGTCGTAAGTCGCGAGGGAAGGGATTGCTGTACCCTTCTCGTGATAAAACTACCTCCGGCAGGAACCGCAGGAGGGGGTCCAGCCCCCCCCTCCTATGTGACCCCGGTTGGGTCGTCTAGCTTGTAGAAGTGGAGGATAGGGGCCAGAGGGGCAGGCGACAGAATCCGATGATGGGAGAAAAAAAAAGAAGTGTTTGAACGGCATTCCTTCCGGTTCTTGGCGTGGGCGGTGATACCTTCGCTCAATCGCAGCGTCCACACGGTCGGCGAGAGATGAGCGCATCCCTCTGACCGTGTCTCTTCGTGTCCTCTTGACTTAGGGTTTTGCCGGCGTGACCTGTCTAAATGGAGTCCGAACTCGTGAACGCACAAACGTTTCATCCCTACCATATGTGTGTTGCGAATTCCAGGCCCCTGCTCCAGCTCCTGCGGTCGTTAGGCTCCCGGGGCCTACCATCGTCGTGAGCGACTTGGCGGAGATGATGGAAGTTAGGCCGGCGGAGGTGCTGAAGCACCTCATGCTCGACCTCGGGATCATGGCGACGATCACGCAGTCCATCGATGCAGACACGGCTCGCCAGGTTGCCAACAACTTCGAAGTGGAGGTGAGAGTAATGGTACACAAGTTTTTCGCTTATGTAACGCCGCTGTCAGTGGCAGCACAATGCTGCAAAAAATGTTGCATTTCTGCAACTTTTCTTGCAGCTTTGCTAATGTACGCTCAGTTCAGGAGCTAAAAGTTGCACGAAAATTTCTGCAACTTTTTTTTCGGAGCGAAAAGCTGCATTTTGGCCGAAAAGTTTTGCAGATTTTCTGGAGTCGGGAAGGGGCGAGAAAAGCCGCACGGCGGAAACTCTTCCGGTTCACTTCAAGCTGCTACCCCTACCGCACACGTAGACCCTCTCCAGCATCGATTGTGAGAAGGCTCTGATCACCGATATCTCGACGAAAACTCAACGAGGTGCCTCATGAATGGTATTTTGAAGGAGGTGATACCATGTGCTGTTGGGCAATGCCAAGGTTTGCGGCCGTGAGGTGCCGAGTGCGGCGGGAAAAAAGTTTGTGCCGTCAACGGCCGCTAGCGGTTGGTTCAAGCTCGATGTTTTTGACGGCCACGGGTTTGGTTATCCACCGATAACTTTCCGAATGAGGAAGCAACAGCAATATTAATAGCAAGGCCGCTCGGTGGGAGGTAGCTCTCTACTTCATCTTTCATGCCCAAGGTTTGGTGCCGTGGGGTATCGTGCGCATCGAGAAAAAGGTTTTGATCGACCCCAAAGTACGAACGTCAGAGATCAGTTGGTTCTAGTTCGAAGGGATTGTGTGCGCATCGTTTGGTTTTCCAGCAATAGCTATTCGAAGGAGAAGGCAACAGCAACAACAATGCCACCCCAAGGGAGCTAGCTCTGCCCAGCATCTTTCTGGTACCAGGTTAGATGCCTTGGGGTATCGTGAGTGTGAAGAAAAAAGGTTGCAACTACATTCTCCCGCACGCTTTAACCGGTTCCTTGGCGGTGCAATATGAAAGGCGCGTGCGTTCTCTCCGTTGCTAAAACAAAACAAAGAGCGTGCATCAAAAGTTCCGTTGACAATTTTTGGGAGAAAAGCTGCAGGAAAAGTTTGCAGCTTGTCTTGCAACATTGTGGAGCCATAAAAACAGGTCTAAACATTTTGGATGAAGCACGCACTCGCGGAAGTTGGGTAAGGGTTGCGGATATGGTCTGCGTACCCTCTCTCTGTTCTATTTCCTCGTCAACTTAATTTTTCGCAAAGGCGGTCCGAGAGATACGGGAAGAGGCGCGATGGTGGGGCGGGGAGGGGAGCAAGAGTTCACGCAGACGTACAGAGAGATTAACACAGAGACATTCACACAGAGAGGTTTACACAAGAGACATTCACACAGAGAGATTTACACCGAGACATTCACACCGAGAGATTTACAGAGCTGCTCACACAGAGAGGTTTACACCGAGACATTCACACAGAGAGATTAACACAGAGAGAGGCACGTGGACGAACACAAAAAAAGGGTGGGGTCAGCGACACGCTTTGTACATATGATCAACACGCACAATATGAACTCAAGTGCAAGGTGGCAGCCTTGGTAGACACGTGCACTTTCTTCTGTTGCTACCGTTTCTGTCGTAAATCCGGAAAATAGTTTAGCCTCCCCCATGCCGCCCCTTCACGGGGTCCCAGTTTCATGGCATTTAGAAATGTTTTGTGTTTTCAACCGCACTGAGACTGACGTCTATTCCTTGGTGAGCAACTTAGCGCGGTCGATGCTAATATTAAAAACACACGCGCACACACACTTTAGAAGCATTTTGTGTTTTCAACATCAATGAGACTGACGTCTTTTAATGAGTCAGCCGATTAGCGCGGTCGATGCTAGAAGTGCACAAACTCACAAGCACACATGAGCACAACAAAGTTGGTTCATGGCCTATGAAGTGCCCCGTGGTAACGACGTTTCGCCTTTACCTTGTTTGATGACCAATTAAAAGGTGGATGACGGTTCTAGCTCGTTCGACGAAGAAGAGGTGGTGTCCGTGGGCGACACGGGAACCGCAATCGAGATCGACGCGGAGGACACCATGCTGCCCAGGGCGCCGGTGGTGACCATCATGGGACACGTCGACCACGGCAAGACAAGGTGTGCATACACACCACGTATCTTGCTAACCGAGTGTCGTTTTAAGGAGGATAGTCGATCTCTGGCACCGCGAGTGTCCCGTCCTGTACTACTGTCTTGGCGAATCTTGCTCTAAGAGTACGTTCGATTCTTGTGTTGTGTGAGTAGGACTTGGGGGGAGGGTGAGCTGAGGCCACACGCGAAGCACGTGTCTTCGTTGCGATGGACCTGTCTGGATAGTACACGTGGGGTCGAGCACAGTTTCCCATACCGCACTAGAGTGATCGCCAGGTGTTTCATCCGAAGGGAACGATCCTTTGAATGGTCCGTGGAACAGTACAGTACGTCGCCCGCTGGAATGTACCATGCATTTTGAGACGATGAAAAGTTTCCCGCCAGAGCCGAGAGCCGATGTGGAGTAGCAGTATAGCAGTAGTACTACCACCACTAGCAGCAGCACTAGTATAGCGTGCACGCAGCTTTTGACATTTATCATGGTAACCGGCAAGAGTTTATGCACGACACGGAGCACCGAGGGTAGTGGGTAGTCAAGGAAGGTGACCAGCGACACCACAGCACTGGCATTGTTTCCGTTGCCCCGCTCCGTGTGATGACGACTTTTTTCTTTTTCTTGGTTATTTTTTCTTGCTTACTCTACGCCTTTCCTCGCACCAGTCTGCTGGACGCGATCCGCGAGACCAAGGTTGTCGCGGGAGAAGCGGGTGGCATCACGCAGCACGTCAGCGCATACCAGGTGCCGTTTGCATTTTTTTTTGGCTTTCGGTCAGCTTTGAAAGATGTAGGCGTATTTTAGAGTCGTGTGGCCTGCTCGGGGCTGATGATGCTTGACCTCATTCTTTGGACACCGCACCCTACACGAGGCACTTGGGCACGCAGGCCAGATACCGCCCTCCAAAGTTTTTCCCTGCCCCTATGCTCATGTATTGGTGCCAGTATTACCCCCCCATACCCAGCTGTACTTTCGTACTTTTTTTCCCACGAACCTACCCTGTATCCCTTCCCTTGTCCCGTGTGACCTTGCCTTCACCCCCTCCTCCCGTTCTGCGTACGTAAAGAGTGGTGTCTATCCCATTTCGGAAAGAAGCTTGCATGATTGTCGTATTCCACTTGGTGTTGTCACGATGTTTCTCCTTAGTCGCCTCCCTCCTATCACAGACAACACCCTGATATTTTTAGTAGGCAAATAGGAGCCGGAAGTATTAGTAAAAGTACTTCATTTCGAAAGGGATGTGAGGTCAACGACCAATTGACACACGGTCGACCAACGAATGCCCCCCCTTCACTCTTTTGAGCCACCTTTGGCGAAGAAGTAGGAAGGAGCGATTGCCCATCGGCGATTAGTCCTGCCGGCACAATGCTCCGTCCTCTCGAGGACTCGTGGTCAACGGTCTAGCCGCTGAGGCGTGCAAAACATAAGTACGCACCCCCTTCTTTTTTTTTAGGTCAAGACTGATGCCGGCGCCGACCTGACCTTCATCGACACCCCCGGCCACGCGGCCTTCAGCGAGATGAGGGTCCGCGGGGCGAACGCTACTGACATCGTGGTGCTCGTCGTGGCTGCCGACGACGGCGTGATGGAGCAGACGAAGGAGTCCATCGCCACGGCACGGATGGCGGACGTGCCTATCGTCGTTGCCATCAACAAGGCATGTGTTGCTGTTTTGTTTTTTTATGTCTCTGTCCGTTTTTTGTTGTCGAGGTGTTTGATTATTTTGTTGTTTTTGTTTGCATAGTCCCTTGTCGCGTTTTTTCTTTTTCTCTTGAGTCCCAGTACGACAATTGCAGTTGGGCATCCAAGGAAAGACAGTGGTATTCAGCTTGAAGCAGTACCGTGGCGCTCGGTGAAGCAACGCCAGCAGTAGCGACAGTGACTGCACTTGTACGCGCTTGTTTTTACAGTACCATTCTTGTGTTGATGCAACAACGCCTCGTGTAGAAGTAAACAACATACGGGAAGGAACGCTATTCCTCGTGATTTAGGTACTTTTCTGCTGTCGACGTACTCAGATGTACAGCAGGCGGTAAAGGGAGCCAGGGGTTGACTCAAGTGCTGCCTTATCATTATCATCGTAGGGGATGTTTTTGCCGCGTTGCCGTGGTGGTTGTCGTGTTGGCACGAAAACCAGTTCTGACTTGTTCCGTTCAGCACACCTCGTACAGCGGTTCCCTTGATGTTCGAACTCCCGTGTTGACAAGAAGCAAGTTCCTGTGTTCACACCAAGACAAGAGAGTCAAGATGCCCGATCTTAACTCAACTCCCCGGTACAAACCTTAACCTTGTGTGTTAACGTTGACAGGTAGACAAGGAGGGTGCGGACGTCCAAAAGGTACAGAACGAGCTCATGACCTTCGACCTACTTCCGGAGGAGTTCGGTGGGGACACCCAGGTGGCGATGGTCTCCGCCAAGCAGAAGAGCGGCCTCGACGAGCTCCTGGAGAAGATCCTTCTTCAGTCGGAGGTGTTGGAGCTCAAGTCCAACCCGGACCGTTCCGCGGAAGGGGTTATCATTGAGGCGCGCATGGAGAGGGGGCTCGGTAAGTGCGTGGTGGGACTTTTGTGGCCACTGTTTTTGTGAAGTTGTTGGTGATTGCGCTGATGCTTGGCCTTGGTGTGTGTTGTTTGTTCTAGTGTTGTGGTCATGGTCTTGATGTAGTCGATAGCGACGTTGTTCTTGACGGCGAATGCGTGTGGCGAAATGTTGGCGATGATTTTGACGATGTTAGTGGGTTGTGGCGATGATGACGATGTTGGTGGTGATGTTGATGGTGACGATGACACTAACGATGATGTTGGTGTTGGTGTTGTTGATGATGACGTTTTCCATGGCGGTGGCACGGCGCATGGCAGGCACCGTCGGTACGGTCCTCATCCAGCGGGGAACCCTCCGCGTGGGAGACATCTTCGTCGCGGGCGGGGCGTGGGGAAGGGTGAAAGCTCTCATCGATCACCAGGGTCGGAGGATCAAGGAGGCGGGACCGTCGACTCCAGTACAGGTGCGTCCAACTCGACATGACATGCTTGCTTGTGTTGACTAATGTGGCTGCGTTTGAAGCACCGTTCTTACGATGTACTCCTATAACAGCATGCGTGCGATCAATGTGTCGTTGCTGTCTTCAAAGTCCAGGTGCGATGAACAAAGATTGTAGAGTGTTGTATACAAAAAGGCAGTGGGCGATTTCATTGGTACCTTGAACTGGGGGGATGATAATTCAGGACACGTTGACACCCTCCCTTGCTGTATGTACCGTTCCGCGAGCACTGATCCGATGCTGTAGTTTTCACTTCTTGGTCCCTTTAGCAATGGTCATAGGAAGTATTGCGTTCGATTTTTATGGTTTCGTCCAACTTTGATTGAAATATTTTTTTGAGTTCTTCGCTGATATTTTGACATGTACCTCACTTAGGTTGGAGGGTTCGACGGAGTGCCCGATGCAGGAGACGTGTTCACGGTGGTGGACCGGGAGGACATTGCCAGGGATCTCGCAGAGGCGCGGCGAAAGATCGCCAGAGAATCGACGGCGGCTATCCTTCAGGCAAGTTAACGTTTTTGCGGCGTACGGGCGGCACCTTGCATGCCCGTGCCCGGAGTATGTTTCAGATCGGTGCAAACTATTGCTATCGTTCTCATCGTCATCGTCGTCGTCGTTGTTGCCATTGCTGCTGTTGTTGTTGTTGTTGCTGCTGCTGCTTGGATCCCCTGGTCGCCATCGTAGCTCGGCGTACCCAGTTTTCTGATGGAATACAGATGTCGTTCCGGCATGGATCAGCTGCTCCACTCGCCTACTTGTTTTTTGCCTCCGATACTGCACCTGATTCAAAGCCATGCGCTACCACCGCTGTATTCGGTGCTGTAGCGAATGTGTTCATTCAAGCGCGAGGCCATTGCTCCCAGGTTGTAACTCATTCGGAGTCACACTCAATGAAAGGCAGCATTACCTCTTTTGCCGTTGCCCCGCTCCAGGAGTCTGAAATATTCGAAAACGGAGACAAGAGATAACTGTTCCAAGGATGTGGACGAAAGACGCACCCTTGCAGCAGGAAGGGAAACACTCCGTATCTCAAAACTGAGGCGCTATTTGTAGGGATCGAAGAACAGCATGACATGCTGTAACCATCTTTTTATTTTGCCGTTTCCCAACGTGCAGGGAGGATTGAAAAACGACACGTTGTCTATCTTGAGCGGCGATGCTGACATGCACTAACCTCGTTCTTATTCGATGCCGTTTCTAACGTACTGCTCTGTGCAGGGAGGGTTGAAGAACGACATGCTGTCCATCTTGAGCGGCGAGGCTGACGAGGGCAAGGAGCTGTTCGAGCTACCCGTGATGATCAAGGCTGACGTGCAGGGATCGGAGCAGGCGTTGCAGACGGCTCTCAGGTGGGACGCGCGATCATGACCCGGTCTTGGTATAGTATGTTGTTTGCTCGGGAGAACCCGTACGGTGTTACCACCTCCCCTGTCTGTGTGGCCCCTTCTTTGCCGCTTCAACGACCGGAAAGAGACCAATAGGACGACAGGCGGCAGTACGTGCCAGACGGAAGATGGGGACAGGAATTGTGAAGAGTCGACCGCTACCATATACTTGGAACGATGATAGAAACCACACGTTTGAGTAACCTGGTACTTGGTTCATTCCATGTGTCGTTGGTATGCCCGCTTTGTGCCGCAGTTCGTCGACATGAATGAAGGACTCACCTCACTCGACTGACACCTTGTTCCGCACGTGCGCGAAAAAACATGCATAAAATTGAAGTGAAATGATCTCCGAGGATGAGTACTTCAAGGCCAAGTGCAAGCTCCTCCCGTCCGGGGTGGGCGAGATCACGAAGAGCGACGTGGCCATCGCCGGGGTGAGCAACGCGTTTGTCGTGGGCTTCAATGTCGGGGCTGACCAGGAGGCCACGAGAGAGGCGAGGGCGAACGGCATCGACATCGGGTACTACAGCGTCGTGTACAACGTCATGGATGACATCCAGGCCAAGTGAGTTTTTTTTTTTTTTGTAGCATGTTGTCGAGGGTTGGGTGGCGGACTGCTGTGTTCGCCACGCGAACGCGTGTGTGTCTGTGTGCGTTTTCTTAGTTGGCGTACAGCAGTAGCACCGTGCTAAACGGCTGACCAATGAAAATACCTCAGTCAGTTGTACATCGTGGGATAAAAGCACGAACACTTTCTAATAAAAAAATAAAGGTTCTACCGACAGGCTCTGTGCGTATTATGTATGTGTGGGGTCTTGTAGATTGAACAGCGGATGTTTATTTCATTTTCAAGGAGTGATCATGGCCTAAAGCATTCGTGTGTGACCTCATCGATGGACACACACACGCCAAGCTACGAGCTTATTGGCTATCAAGTGTTTGCCATGAGTACCGATTTGTGCACCGCTGTGTATTTCGTACCAGAAGAGCACCTTCGTACGATAGCTCCGAAAGTCAGATATGTTTTCCTTTTCGTCTGCTGCCGACGAGGGGAACAATGCTTGTGGAGGGTCGTTCATCTCTTTTCGATTGAGTGCTGACCGCCGGCCATCACACGCGGGGCACGCTTTGGTTCTAAACAAGAAATGCCTGATTCGCCGCACAGGTTGGACGAGCTGGTGTCCCCTACCCCCGACGGGGAGTACACGGGTAGGGCCATCGTCAAGGTCATCTTCAACATTGGAAAGGTGAGCCTGGCCTAGCCTAGCCTAGCCTACGGGCGGAGAACTAGCACAGTGAATTATTGGTCTAAGAATTTCCGGTGGATGTGTTGGCCTTCAAATTTTTCGGGAGCTACGTGTTGGATGTACGCTGACACGAAAAGCAGAACCATTAGTTGCGTGTACACTCATGGCGTGTACCCGTGTGGCGCCGCGCTTTGCCATTCGCGCTTGCGAATCGCGCATTGCCAATCGCGCATTGCCAATCTAGTTTACGATTCTCGTGTGTGTGATTCGCGTTGCTGCGAAGCGTTGACCCATTTCTCCTTAGTCAATTTCGCAAGACGGCGTGTTGTGTTACGCCCTGACGATATTCAACAGCGTTCGTACTGGTTCATAGCTTGGAAACATTTGGCTCTTGTGCCCCAAGGTTTTGTAATTCGCAATTGGTTTTGTGTGTTGTAAAGGCGCGGTCGATGCTAATTTAACAAACACAAACACACACGCACGCACGCACAGGTGGGCAACATCGCGGGTAGTTCGGTGGAGGACGGGGTTATCAACAAGGGGGGTAACGTGCTGGTGAAGCGATTGGGTCGCATCGTGCACGAGGGCAAGCTGAAGACGCTCAAGAACCTCAAGGTTGACGCGGACAAGATGGTCATGGGAACGGAGTGTGGTATCCAGGTGCGTGCGCGTTGGTTGGTTGCTGCTGTTGGCGTCTGTCTTTGCTGTGTTTCTCGCGCCTGACTTTTTCTGTGCTATGTTGTTGATGTTGCTGTGGCGACAGACCAATCACGTGTTTCCCTTTGCCTTGCTGTGGTAATATTTCGTTGTCCTATCAAGTGTACCGTCCTGGTGAACGGTCTGGGTGAATGCTCCGTTCACCACTTCTCCCGTTTTGGTGGTGTAGATGCCCCTAATCATCCCCTCTTACCTCCTTCGAAACCCTAGGTCTGTCTCTGAATAGCTGATGGCACCTTGTTTTCTTTGGGATTTTGTATCGATCTGTGTTAAGAGAAAGACGTCTACTTTTCTGTCTTTTTCATCTCTTGTTTCACATACATATGCGCATGCGAGAGCACTCATTTACTTCCATAAAACTCGACATTCCTGGTCGCGACGCAACATTTTCGGGAGTTATCTCTTAAGACGGCCCTTCCTTTTGTGAGCCCGCCGGCCAAAAGGACAAGGGCTTCAGTTGAGGCCGGGGCTACCCCCGGCCTATTCTGTTGATCATATCAATCTGTGTTAAGAGCACTTGTAGTCCCGCACAGAACACGTAGGGACGGTATGCCATTTGACTTGTATATCTAGATATGATTAATGTGAAGACGAAAAAAAAAAATCTAGACATGTGGTATGACATGTACTGGTACACTCGCTTATGCTGATGCTTATGCTTATGTTTATGTTTATGCTTACGCTTGGTGTCGACGTACGTGACCTGCGGCACAATCAATCCAGGTGGAGGGCTTCGAAGACTTCCAGGAAGGCGACTTGATCGAGTGCTACAAGATGGACTAACTCATGTTTTTTTGACAGCGACCTTCGTTACGGGCGATAGTGCAGAGAAGGAGAGAAGCCAGCGGACAGCAGGAGGATGGATCTAGAGGAAAGAAATTGTGGCGGGAGAGGGTGGCTCGCCCATCAGTTGCTGTCTGATTGCCTGGCTGGAAGGCCAAGTAGTAGCAAGGCCTCGATTTATGTGATTTCTCGTTCCGGAAGAGGCGACCTGTGTCTCGTGGTATTGGTGTCAAGGGCTACCAGACAGACCTTGTGGTCAAGCGACCAGGTGGGGGAGGTTGCGAAAGCCGCTTGCTTGCCCCTTCTCTGGTCTCGGCTGCCACTTTTTCGTTTCTGCCTTTGTTGCGTGTTTGATTCCGTGGACGCTCCGCCCACGTGTCGTTGGTTGCCGACTGGTCGGGTTGGGTCGACCGTGGGCCGTGTCCGTTCTGTTTTTCCTGCCGCTTGCAAGGCGTGTGCCTGATGCTGATGTTTTGTGGATGGCGGAGGGTAAACCCAGCTTTCGGTGCGTGTTGTGCGGAAACATGCTTTGCGTGTGATTTTATGTGACATTTTCTCTCCGATAAACTTAGATGCTTCAAGGAATGGCAAGCATGCCACAACCATCATGGGTACTCCTGCCCTGTACGCCTGGAAAGGGGGCACGTAGAGCCATGAAAGTGCGGCTCGGCGCACGAAACTTGTGCTGTCGGTCTTATCTGCGAAACTTTGTTTCCGTACAGTCTAGCGTAGCGGCAAGCACAGCGCGGGAGAAAATGGTACGGCAGGCTCGCTAGGCGTCATCATGACACAGGTATAGACTATCGTACGACCCTAGACATACCTCCCAAAAGCGATGGTGGAGTTTTTTTTCAACCGTCTCTTCGTTTTCATGTCGTGAGATCGTGAGATAGGGCGGTTGCGTCCATCCCTAGCGATTAACGGCAGTCTCAAATGTAGAGTGGCGAGTCGGCCGGTACATTCTTTTGGATTGTAGGGTGAGGCTGGGCAAGGTAGGTGTGGCAGCATCAAAGCCAGTTAACCGGAACATGGCGATTAGATTAGATCATATGAGCAGCTGGTGACTAAGATGGAATCGGGTGGAGACCTTCGTTCGTTGTCCGAGGCTCGCAAGCCATATGAAAACCGTGTAGCAACCAAGCCCCACACCAACGAATACATCGAAATTTAGGAGCATACAACAACTAAAAGGACCAGTCTTGTGTGAGAAAATCCTCAAGGGTTGCGTTGCAGTCGTTTCAGCCATAGCATTTCCTTGCGTCTTGGGCACAATAACATGTGACGGCGGAAGGAGATCGAGTCGAAACAGCAAGCTAGCCCATGAGGTTAAAAGTGAGACACGGCTAATGTCGTGGTGCAAAAAAAAAAAGAATCTCGTACGTACGCTTGAAGCGAACGAGTTGGCGTTTGGTTTCATGAGGCACCCTCTGCTCTCGGTGCTTTCCATAGAGGCGATTCGTTCCTGACACGAAACACACACGAAAACACACACACACGAAAACACGCCTGCTGCCGTCAACAGATGGTCCGGCGTGTACTGTGATGAAGACGAAAGCAGCAGTACGAACGTTTACTGTCGAGTGCTCCACGCCTGACCCCACGCACCGTCCATATCTTGGACTAGGTAAACAACGGGTTTGTATTTTATGCACACTTTTCGCTTGCCTACTCATCAACACCGACACAGCACGAACAACGGGACAAGCCCTGATCGATCACTGTTCGACAGAACAACGCTTCATCCGCAGCAACTGCCGCAGAAAAAACGTGCCACGAAAACAGACGTGACAAACAAAATATACCTCCCAAGTCATGCTCAACATTGAAGCAAAGTGGGACAAAGAGTTACCACCGCCCCATCATTTCACTTTCACTTTACACAGCAGTGCAAAACAATTCGCTTACGCCAAAGTTGAACGGCCATACCCATGCGTGCACAGCCGCGATAGCGCCGCTAATTTTTCCCGCATCCCTCCTCGAACCAAAAACAAGATGCTTCTGTACGAAAAAAAACAAAATAAGAGGGTGCATGTAGCTTGCTGGAAGCCTGTGATACGGCACATAGGTGGCACTTGTAAAGACAGACAAAAAACAGATGACAGCTTCTGAGAATGACATTCTACTTACACGACCAGTGGGCTATCCGAGCCGAATTATCCTACGGAAACAAGGCTACGGTAACCCAAGCAATTTTCTCTACAGTGGTAGACCCGGGGGGGGTGCCGGCGTCAAGCCTGTGTCTGCAACCCAGACCACCACACCTCAAGAACAACACTCCGAGATCAGGTCTGTTTGGTCGACAGGCTTACCTCGGTTTGCTTCACGCCAGCACCGCATTCCGTTGTGCTGTATGAACTCACGCGGTAGATCCGCGTTGAAGATGCAAGCTGGAGCGAATTGTACAGCCCACCCAACCACCACGTAACTTGTAAAACACACGCCGACAGAAATGACCACCATGGGCTTACCGGGTCATCCATGTCCGTCCATGGGCACACAGCCTGATGCGTGTCGAGTAATGTACTCTGGGAAAGGAGGAACAGGAAGTTTTTTCCAATCGGGGTCTTCGAAACACCCCTTGTCAAATCCAACACGAATCAATAAAACCCATTCTAACCGTTATCCGTAGACCTCCTCACTCCGACCAATTCCACTTGGACGGTGAAGCGCGCAGTGGCAGCAGCCAGACACACACACAATATCAATAATAGACACCGGGAACGAATATGTTCAAGGTACAAGAACGCGCCTGCCTAATTGCACTTCGTACGTGATGGGCAAAACTCTCGACAGATTCGAGCAATCTCAACAAGTTGCTGGGAAACACTCGCAGTAAGGGGTGAGAGATTCGTTATGCGAAAGGTGCGACTCGTGCCCAACCCCGCTGACCAACTCCTTAACTGGATTTTCCAGAAAAGGCGGGGAGACCATTCGTAACCGTTGAGCGCTTCGTAAGCGGCACTGACGACGTGGAACGGCGCTGTAACACTACCAAACCCAGCGTGACGCAAAGCATAAGCTACGGACTCGTAGCGAATGCAAATTTTACTTGCCGGAACCAAGGTCAAGGTGGGCCAAACCCCCCAAAACAAACGGCCCAGATCGAATCTCATGGCTACACTGGCAACGACCACAACTCGCGGGGGTTGGGCGGGCGGGCCACCGAACACGCCGAGCCAACGCGACAACCGGTTGAGCCTTCTAACCCCGTTGTCACCTCCAACGGAAACAAAACCCACCGCGCAACGGCCACAAGCCGTCGATCGTCAGGGGACAAGGGTGTGTGCGGGCCGCCAAACACGCCAAGCTAGCAACGCGAGGACTGGTGGTGCCTCCTCACCCCGCGACCCTCACCAGCAAACCACCACGAACATGACGTCATCGTTCCCCCGGCGGGTCCGGGGCGAAAAAGATTATGAAAGCCGAGAGCGCCCAAGCCAACAACACCGTGAAGGCGACCGCGGCGAGGGAGCGCACGAACACCACCCACCAGTAACATGGACCTATCTCCGCCTGCCGCTCCTCCTCCGCCCGTGGGTGAAGGATGTCGCGGATGCTCTTCACCAGGCCGAGCTTCATGATCTTCTGCTGCATGGAGAACAAGGAGAACACATAGCTGACGATGGCGACGGCGTGCCACTCGCGCACGTTCGCGCCGGCGAGGTACGCCTGGATGGCCGTGGTGATGATGATGATCGGGAAATCCTGGCAGAAAAAAAAAAGAGGGCCCGGGGTGTTCATTCAAGGGTCCAGGAAACCAACTAGGCCGTCTTGCCTAAAATACATACAGTACAAGGTTCACGTGCGGGCGTTAGGTGATTTGCCTCCCGGGGGCGATGCAAGACATGGTCAATCAATACCATAGCAGTCGCATGGTTGGTCGTCATAGCATTCGGTAGTGCCGGCTTTTACGTGCAACCTGCATATATGTTTCCTGGAATTCTCATCATGTGAGTTTTTTTTTTTTTCTCCCGCCGTGACTTTTCGCTTGTGCGGGAGTGTGTGATCTTCGGCTAGCGGCGTCTTTTCTGCAGGTCCTACTGCTGTGATCCGCTGCGTTTGATCACTTTCTTTCCTGGTTTGATCGTATTTCCCATGGTCTGTGGGACTATTTCTCGCAACGCTAACAACGGATGAAAGAGACGCTCAACGTACCGAAGAACAGTCACAGCTGTACCACAATTTCCAAATACAGTATATGATTTTTTCGATTTTTCGGAATTGAAATTTACATGACCGCTTCCGGAGTTGTGCGAGAGGACTTCTGTGTCGCGTGGTGTGTTCCTATGAGCATCATCAAGAGTCTTGGTCCCCCCTGTGGGTACGCATGCGCCAGTTGCTGTGTAGCGGTTGTGTACACAAGAATCACAGCAGCTTTGTGGGCGCTTGGCGCGTGGCGCGGGGCAAAAACAGAGTTGTGTTTGCAGTTTTCATGCCGTTCGAGGAGGCTTTGATGCTTCGGATTCCCAACCCCTGAACAAGAGTCAGACTCAGCGACTTTAGGCGGCCCTAACGCGCACCATCGGTGTCTCGCGAGCCCCGCACGTAACGGGTAATGTACCGACGGGTCCTCTGCGTGCCATGCAGAAGAAACTGCGAGAAAAAATGCTGTCCCAGCGAAGAAAAGCGAAGGCGAATGTGAAAAGGTCGAAATTCTGCATATGCATATACACCCGACGAGCCGGTACATACGGACGACAATCGGCACTAGGAATATTACTATTTGTGTCGTGGAGCGATAAAATCGCAACTTGACGCTCCTGGAACACTCGAACTCCAGTGAAAAAACGGGCGAAGTACAACAAGCCTTTGCGCCCCAGCTCCCAAACTGATTTGTCGTTGGTCCAGCCTCGCCTCGGTTCTGTACGTACGTAGGTCGTGCTGTGTCGTGTCGCGTCGTTATGACCCACCTCAACAGAGATCGAAACCGCGGTGCCGATGTCGGAGACAGGTCCGCTTAGGAAGGCCACCAGTCCCACAATGGCGAACCCTAGGACAGCGAAAGCAACTCCGTCGGGCACCTTTGTCGTGTCGAACAAAAACATGCACGCGTCGTGTGAGCGCAAGAAAAGCTAAAAAAAAAAAGAGTACGCAGATATTTTGTGTGAACACCCTGAAATCGTTGGCATTACCATCGAAAGACTCGTTCGACAGCTTGGCATCGTTAACCCACCCAGCAGGCTGCTTGTAAAAACGAGGAAAACGAGTTAAAATGAGCATTCGTCTTGGTACTTCGCGGATGATCCTTACATCATTTACGCTAGTACCGGATATCTGAGCGGGGATCCTTCCTTGTGGGATATGAGTCTATCCAAATCGACTCAAAAACAATTTCTCTGATTGATGGAGAGACAGATGGAAAATACAAGACAGGACAACAAAGCATAATCGATTCTATCTCAAAAAGCACGTACTTCGTTCTCCGTATACAGCTCCTCAAAGTAGAGGAAGTCGGAGACGATGTCAGCCACTGTAAGGGCTAGGATCCACGTTTCGCTGCAGCAGTTCACGCAACACTCGGTCGCAGGAACTGCCATCATTATTTCGATGGGAGAAGCGGTGGGGTGATGGCACTAGTGGCATGAGTAGCTCTTCCACAGGGTCTTGCACTACTCGGGCGAATGCACGCAGCTTCGAAGAAGCAGCCTGGACAACAGGAGGAGAGGAATGGGCAAGGGTAAGCAGGAGGAAGAGGGTCAGAAAAACGAAAACGAACAAAATGATTTTCCAGCGCCACTGCTGCGACGGACGTCAACAACCAAAGACAGAGGAAGACAGAGGGGTTGTTCTCAGCGTCCAACTTCATCGCAGAAGAAAAAAAAACACAGCATACCAAAAATCCCGGGCGTTCCAAACACCATTGCTTGGAAATACTTCAGTGTTGTGGCGAATTTAAGCGTGGGTACCCTTTGTTGCGCACATTTTTCACGATTGGGTTGGGTTATTTTGCTGGAAACACACAGCCGAGACGAAAGGTCACGTGTATTTGTAAACTACTGCACGCCTTTTCCTCCTAACCTATTGGGTCTTCACGACGTAACCGATTTTTTGTTGCCCCGAGAGAGATGAACGCAAGAGCTTCTCAAGCGGGATGATTGCAGTGTGCGGAAGAAGACATGAAGTAGTGAGGAAGCTCAACTGGTGAGGCGCGCGCTTTGCCCTTCGAGCCTTTGGCTCTGTCGCTAGGTGCAACGAGAGGGGGGGGGATCGGAGCCCGGGAGCAGCAGGTGTTTAAGAGGGAATACGTCGAAGAAGCTTACCCGCAGCGTAGGATCTAACGAGGCACAGCCGTCCAACGTGCACGGTTCAGTATAAAAACTAAATACGGTAGAACTGGATGAGTTACGGTGCCCCCACGGACACGCCAGCTTGTGTGGGACACTCCCTTCTCTCTCTGTCTTTCCTGCCTCTTGTCCTGAGGATCTAGTACAAGTCATCAACAAGACTCCCCACTTGGTCACATGTCACAAATACGGGTATAACCGACACACAACTACGGCTCTAAAGGAGGCAGCAATCCCCCCCCTCGGCCTGCTCCCCGGCCGGGGCCGAAATCGACCTAGTGAATTCCTCGCGGGCGAACCAGGACACAACAGATAGTAGGCGGGTGGTGTCCCAAGGTGCAACTCACCGCCGCGCTGGCTCAGCGTGGCGGTGAGGATGCACAGACGGTGGTAGTGGCGAGAGGTGTGTATGGACACTGTTCCCACGGCAGTAATGCAAAGCGGCAAACTGCACCTGGCAACCACCGTCGCGGAAAGCGTGGCCCACGAAGCTGGAGGAGTAGAGAGATTCGTAAACACCACGTCAGTAAGCACCGCTCGCGGGAGAAGGGAGACGACCGCGGGCACCGCGGGGAGGGAGTGCTGCACCCTCCTCGTCAAAACACCACAGGCAAGAACCGAGCTCTGCAGAGATGGATTGATACGAGGAAATTCGCCGCTCGAAAAATTCGGAAGAAAGGACACCCGCAACGCGAGGTGGATCGAGAGAGACACGAGACCGCAGCGGCCGTCAAGGCGACTGCGAAGAAGAAGGCACGAGAGGGCGACCTATCGTTCGGCACGTTCAACGTACGCACGCTCGCCTACAGCGGTAGGAACCCCATCGGTCACAACGTGATGACGGTCATGCAGATTTGTTCCGCGACCGGCTGTGATGTGATAGGACTTCAGGAGACCCGACGAGGGGGGCAAGGCTCAATTGCACACGACGGGTACGTGATCATCTGGAGTGGCGCCCGTGCTGGCACCAAGGACAAGAGGGGCGTACACGGTGTGGGCATAGCGATCAAGGACGCCATGTGGGAGAGTGTGGGCGAGGAAGGTAGGACGGTGGAGTGCATTAGCCCGAGGCTGATGAAGGTGTGTCTACAAATTGGCCGCACCTGCGGAGTTACTTTCGTGGTGGGGTTCGCCCACACGGAAACTGTCCGCACCACCGCGGGCGGTGATGCTAACGCCAAGAACTCCTTCTGGACTGCTCTCGACGCAGCGATCCGGGAGGTTCACAAACGTGACCATCTCGTGGTGCTAATGGACGTCAACGCACGCACTGGTAGGAGGCGAGACGGGTGCTGCGATGCCAAGATTATGGGCGCGTACGGACGCGACATTATGAACAACAACGGGGAACGACTCCTTGGACTGGCATCAGACAACCATCTTTCCCTGACCAACACCTACTTCCGGACACCGAAAGGTGGAGTGCAGCACACATTCCAGAGCTCCAACAAGGGAAAGGAGAAGTACCGCCTCGACTTCATCCTCATGCGTCAGATGGACCGGCGTTTCGTGCGTTACGTCTCCGTCAAACGTGTCGACTTCAAAGACTCTGACCACAACGTCGTGCTCACGACTGTCCGCCTCCGCCCCCGTGTCGCACCCAACCGACGAGTGCGGGGGAACAGCGGAAGCAGCCGGATCCGTATCGATCTCGAGCGGTTAACGAAGAACAAACACCTACGGGTCGCCTTCCAAAACAGGGCCTCCAGCCGCCCTCCGCCCACGGCGCTCAGGCGGCCAACGGGAGAGACCGCCGCCGAGCTGACGGCTACGGTGATGTCGGCCGCTGCTGAGACCGCGCCGCTGGCGAGGTGCGCACGAGGGCAGAGAGGCTGGTACACGAGCGAAGCGCAGCACGAGATCTCTGACGCGTCGAAGGAGATTAAGGCGGCCCAGCAGCAACTGCGCGGGGCCTCAAAGAACAGCGCCTGCGAGGCGACCCTGAAGGCGATGCTCAAGGCGGCGCGGAAGAAGCGCAGCATCGCGAGGTGGAGAGCACTGGAAAAGTTCTTCGAGGGCTATGTACGGCAGCTCGAGAAGAAGAGCCGCGAGGGGGATCAGGCGGGTTTCTACAGGCACCTGAAGATGATCGACGTCGAAGGTAAGAGGTCGTTCACCTCTCAGAACATCAAGGACGAGGACGGCAAGGTCCTTCGGGACCCCACGTTTATTCGCCAACGGTGGGCACGGTGGTTCCACAAGCTTCTCAACACCAAGTCGCCGACCAT